TGTAAATACTTACTAGACCGTTTTCGTTTTTCATTACTTCCTTTCTCATATATCACGTCATTCGGTAAAATATTTTCAATGTCTTGATTTGCAGTGACTGAAATAGATTTTTTCAATAATAATAACAATATAAGTAATGATACATGTAAAATAAAACAAAAATAGGAATAAAAAATGATTACCTGTATTTTCTTCAATCGAATTTTCTTTATCATTACAGTTTGCATCAACAGATGTTTCATATTCCGAATTATCTTCTGAATTACTACTATCCGATTCATCATTGTTCGTATTTCCTTGAACTGCTTCCAAATATTGGGATATTTTTAATATGTCTCTGCTTGCTAGTGATTGTCTGTAATGATCCTTATGTATCTTTTCATTGTGGCCCATAAATGTAGCAAGATCTGATACATCTATGTCATTAAGATTTAGCTTAATACAGTATGTTGCCACATGTTTTCGTAACACTGTACTACGTAAAGTAGTAGACTGAATTGCGTTACATTCCTTGGAAAATTTTCGTAACAAGGCACAAGCTCTTAGGTATCTATATCTTCGTTTGTTATAGCCAGGTAATGCAAATACAAAAGGATTTTTTGGAGGTATTTCAGCTTCTTTTCGAAATTTTAAAATCAAATTAATACTTTGAAATAAATTATTCGATAATAAGACGGGCACTGTGCGTCCCAATTTCCCTCTTATACAAAATCGAATATATTTTTCAGCAATTCTTTGGTTTTTTTTTATAATGATGAATAAATGTCACTGTGCATGTCTTTATGTATTTTTTCGTAATTTTGAAAGTCTTCAATGAGAACTCGCTCCATTTCTCCCGGACGTCGTCTATTAAACACTTGTACAGAGAGTAATGTCGCTTCTGCTAAAGAAAGCCAATTGTAGTAAGAAAAGGATTGCTGTAATGCCATATAAGCTTCTATCCGTTTTTTTTCCAAATGCGTATACAATTTTCGAATATCTTCCAATGATGGAAGAACAATTTTCTTATGCCTCCTTTGAGCAGTTTGATTTTCTATAACAGTTTTATTTACACTTGTTGGGATATCAACAATTAGTAACTTTAAAAAGTCTTTAACGAGTTTTTTTTTCTCTTGTTCATCCTTTTTTATACATTCTGTGAGAAGAATATTTCCGACATATTTAATTAAAGTAGATAAGGTTGACGCTACTGAAGGAGTTCTGTATTCTTGTTTCTCACTATCGTATTTTGCAACTATATTAATTGCATATATACAG